TCCTCGATAGATAATAACGAACAGCTCGATAACTCGGAGCCACTCGGTCCGAGTTTCTTTCAAAGACGATTATCGTAAGCTGGCGATTCGAATAATTCACGGAACAGAAACGGAAGAAACGATCTCTGACCGAAGAAAAATTAAAAATAAAATTATAGGATTCTCTCGTTTGAAAGAAAAGAAAGAAAAAAAGATCGTTCATCTCGCAATAAATACGATCGATATCACTCGTATAACACAGAGATTTTCTATATATATATATATATATATATAAATAAAGTTCCATCGTATCTCGAGTATCTAAACGTTTCGAAACTATAGAATCGAACTTCTAGACAGAGGAGTGTATCTATAAGAATCGTGTTTACCAATTGTCGGCTCCCAGTTTCAAAGCAGTTTCGACTCCCGACGATCGATGAGCCGTATAAATACGATAGGGACAAATGGGCGCGGAACGGAATATATCCCAGCTCGAGATCGAGATCGAACTTTCGTTCCCACTAAGTAAACATTCTGCAAACTGGACTTCCACTGAATGAAATTGATACGAGAATTTCGAGATTCGGATTGAAGCTTCACCAGTTCCAAAGGAATCACCGATCACTTTCGACTTTTGACTGAATTCGAGTCTCGAATTTTTCCTTTTTTTAATTTCAAAAACTCTCGAAAAATGTTCGACGATCTCTTTCGACGTCGGATCGAACGATCAGTCGAAGACGTAAACGGGAGAATGAAAATTTCGAGGCTCAGATCCAAAGGAATCCACCAGTTCCAAAGGAATCATCGATCACTTTCGACTTTTGAATTCGAATCTAAATTTTTCCTTTTTTTAATTTCAAAATCCTCTCGAAAGATGTTCGACGATCTCTTTCAACGTCGGATCGAACGATCGATCGAAGACGTAAATAAGAAGATAAGAATTTTGAGGTCCGGATCAAAATTCCAAAAGTCCATCACCGATCACTTTCGATTTTTGACTAAATTCGAGTCTCGAATTTTTCCTTTTTTTAATTTCAAAATCCTCTCGAAAGATGTTCGACGATCTCTTTCGACGTCGGATCGAACGATGGATCGAAGACGTAAACGGGAGGAGGAGAATCGAAGGGCGAGAAGAAGCGTATGGCCTGTGAAGCGCGAGATATGTGGGACAGTTGGTTAAACGGTGATCATAGGGGAGGACAGTTTCCGGTGAACGATCGCCTTCTAAGCGGCTAATTACCGAGAAGCTCTTGGGTCTCGGGAACAAAGTAGGAACCGGTGGCGGTAATTAAAGTCGTAAGGTGCATCCGATAACGATCTTAATGAATTCCAAGGTAGCGGGCGTGATTATCGGTTAACTGTCAGCAAGAATGGGGCCGAACGTGGTCTGCTCGCTCGTGGAGGATGGAAGTCAGCCCATCCAATTATGTCTGGGGATAGGGGTAGGAAATCCGCGAGAAACCGTCGACGCGGAAAATAATTTTTCAAAAGCCTCTTGCCAGGCTTCCTTTTTTTTTTTTTTTTTTTTTTCATCTCGCGGTTCCATTCTTCTGTCCCGTATCCACGGACAGCGGGTAGTCGGCGAGGGAACGTCGGCACAATACGTCCGTGAATCGAGGAACCCACCCTTTTCTCTCTCTCTCTCCCTTCTTTTCTCTCTTTATCACAAATTTATCCCTTAAACGCGAATATCGTATCGTTCTCGCGAATTTTCGTTTATTACCCCGAATTTATCTCATTTATTTCCCCCGTGTTTCTTCTCTTCTCCTTTCCTCGTTTTTTCGCGTTTGTTCCACTTTTTCAAAAAAAGGTGGTGGAACAAAGCGTTATCCGATTTCCACGGAGATATCTCTTTGAGGGTATCAAGTTTTGTTAAAAATTCTACAAATTCGACAGGCTTGCCGAAACAATGCGATCACGTCAGTTTTTTAACGATGAAATTTCGCGGCCGGCTCTTTGTTCGCGACGTTTGCTTTCTTCCAGTTATCAATAGCAAATTCTCTCCCCCGTACACAATCTGGATAAAAAGGGCTCGACTTGGAAAATGAAAAATAAATCAAAGGAGAGAATCCGGAGTCTTAAACTCGTTCCCTGTTGTTGCAAAAGTTGCTGTCGTATGACGCTTTCACGTACGTTGTCGCGACAACGTAGCGACAACAAGCGTCGTCGAGAAAAATTAAACGAGACGTTGGAAACGATTACGTGGAAAACGACTCGTTCCATTCGTGTTGAAAATTTCTCGCCTTCTTCTCCCATCGGAATTTCACGCAATCGAACAGTTGCCGTATAATTAATTTTATGCGATTAAACGTCAATATCCCGGGGCTGGTGACCGTTTACACGATGAAATGGCTTAATGGACGACGCTGTAATAATACGATAGTGCTAGGGAGGGTGTTGACGTTATTGCGATTGGCACGTAACAGACGCGTGACAATCATTTTCCCAAGATAACAACCCCCGTGTTGTTTTATCGTGTTTTCGAAATTTTCGAAAAATCCGAATCGAAAATTCCGTTCCCTCTTCGAAATATTCAATATATAATTTTCAAAGTAATATCCTCGCCTCGTGTGGTGATAATATTTTTCAAACGGCTGAAACAACCGTTTTTTTCTTTCCTTCTTTCTTTCTTTCTTTCAACCTTTGAGGGAGAAAAGCTTCTCTAAAATTGACACGAGCCCGAGCTTCGAATACGAGAGGCGCTCGATGAAAAATCGATGAACAGAGCGGCGAACAGAGCCGTTGTAAATCCCTACATGACAATCCCTGTAATTCCGTCTCTGGGTATTCCTAATCAGCGGCGTAAGTGCATCGTCAACGACATAATGGCGTGGTAAATGTGACAGATTTCCATCGGGAGCACGCCTGGCATTCCCAGCCGTCCTAGACAATAATCAGACCGATTCGCTGATTTCCGTTTCTGATTCCCCCCTTCAATCTATTCCTCCCCCGATTTCAAACTTGTTTCGTTTCGCATTCGCGTTTAAAATAAACGCGATAAATATTGTTACTATTATTATTACTATCCCATACCTCGTTTCGAATTGAAAAATGAATCGATTTCCTTGCTAATTCAGGTACACTGGTGGAGAGGGGGTACAAGCAATTCAGCGGGAACGTGCACGTGATGAAGGCCGTCGCCTCGGACATGGTGCTGACTTTCTGTTCCCGGAACCCGGACAATCAGCTGTACTCGTTGCTACTCTCGCGGGAGCACATCTTGCAAAAGAGCGACAAACGAGGCGTGCACAATCTGCTCGGTCGCCGTGGCCTCAAGATCGTCAATATCCGGGAGACGTGCATGAACAACGCTGCCTGGAGAAGAGGATCCTTCGATCTGATCGGGTGGTTGGCTCTGATAGGGGTGTTATCCTCCGTTTTCTTCGGTTCCTGGTAGTGGTGGTAATAAATCGTCGAACAAGGGATGAACGAAAAACGGAACCGTTACCGTTATGAATCGTTAGCTGTGTTACCGATCGTTATATCCGCCGTGATTCTAGAGATCTCTCGAATAAAATCTCTACTTGCTTACTTCTTTCTTGTCCTTGATTTGATTAAAGGAGGGGATTAAGGGAGGCGATTTCTGTTGCTCGATCGGGGAGGATCGAATTCAACGAAACGAAGGAGAGAAAGAGAAAGGCTCCTCCTTAATTGCCAACGCAGCTAACGATTTCGCGTCCATTGCAATAAACCTCTTCCTCCCCTCCGTCTGCGGCGCAATATCGTAACGAGAATCCAGCCATCTCGACGAAACGAAAAAACTCGAATTTATCGTCGGCCTCGTGTGATTCGACCTCGAATGTGAAACCGGGACGGGAGAAGGATGCACTGGTTGCAGTGTCGCGGGCGATTCTCGTTATTCTCGGCACGACGCCAGCCACCAAGGGAACGATCCCCGTTAGATGGTGCATCGTTTCGCGTCGTCCTCACAGGTTCTTCCTGTGCTTATTATCGCGGGGCTTTGTTCCTCCGATGGAGCTGCCGACCCCTCGAGTCCTCTCGACTGAAACAACAACGGGCTCGAATTTTCCCCAACCACGTATCTACGATGATATATATATATATATATATATATACATTTACGCGCGATTATTGCATAATTCGAGGAGGGACCCGAGTGTTCAAATCGATCGATATCGTTGTAACTCTTTCAGTCCAGGATCGCATTCGTTATATATAAAAAATATATATTTAACAATTAGAGAACAAAGTTGTTTCTTTTATCGTATCCAATTTTAATTATCGTTGGACGGGATGGTTTTTTTCGTTCATCGTATTTTCATTCGCGTCGTTTATAAAATTGTTCTCTAGAGTTTATTTCTTCTTTCTTGAAAAAAAGGGAGAAAAAGACATATCAGACAAAGTCGTTGTTGTTGAAGAAGAGAAGTGGAAAAATGCAGAGGACAAAGATTTACTGAATAATGCGATGCCACGGAATTTGAAAGAGTTAAACGAAACGAGTTCCGCGAAGAACTCGCCGTTCCAGCGAAGATAATCCTCCTTTTCAAAAATAAGAAGGGGAGCGTTCCCGTGAAGATTAGCGACGTTAGATAGAAATGCATGTTGTATGTATCTCGGTTCGTGGATTTAAGAAGACAATAGTAATATATCAAATATCGATCGCGTCGACGAAGATCGATCTCGAGTAGCCGATTCTAAGAGAAGGGAGCGATGCACAGGAGGGAGGGAGAGAGAGAGAGAGAGAGAGAGAGAGAGAGAGAGAGAGAGAGAGAGAGAGAGAGAGA